GTTCTTGATCATACTGTGGCTTGGGCTGGGAGGGTGGTTTTTTTTTAATTGCTGCTGCAGCAGAGAACGTTTTCTTGTTCTCCTTTATTTTTTAATACCTCAACGTGTTTGATTTACTGTTCAGTACAGTGTCTTGTTCCCGGAAGACTTTGATCTTTTTGTGGAAATGGGTGGGGTTCAGTAGCCAGAAGAAGCATGCTTGCATTTTTGGCATGTGTGTTTTAAGAGTTGTAATCCCACAGCACAACATGAAGCTAAGAAAATGCACAGATTTTTGTTTTTTGGGTTTTATTTTTTAAACAAAAGTCACTTCTAGTGACTTAGCGTAGTTATAAGATTTAATGAAAAAGCAAGACTCTTTAATGTATTCTCTATTCTTTAATTTTTCTTTTAGTCTTTTTGGTTGACTCTTAGCTATATTTTGAAGAACAAGTTTCCATTCTTCCCTCCTTGTGTGTTAACCACTATGGAAAACCATTGGTGGTTACAAGGAGTGTGGCAACAAGGAAGAGTGAACCCTTGATTTGAAGTTCTGTTTCTTGTGAAATAGCTAGTCTTTCTTTTCCTTCCATTTAAGACTTTAGTTAGAGGAACTGAGTTAATAGATTTGTTCTGGGACAAATTAGTATGTCTCATTTTTCCAAAAACAAGCACAACTTTGGAAAATCAGGGTGCATTTTGGAGAGGTCCAACTAATCAGTGACAAGAAATTTTTTTTGTTCTTTTCCCTTCACCCTTTCATATCTTGCTCTTCCCCTCCCTCACCCTCCAAACAGTTGGATCAAAAGACTCAGAGGCAAGGACACCCTAATAGCCCCATGGATTTTGTGGTACTAGTCCTGATAATTAAGTAATTAACACAAGGCACCATGGATCCACATGCATCTTTTCCAGGGCAGCACCAAAGACTTCTGCTTAAAATGGGGACAGTGGCCAAAGTCAAAACTCTTGAATTCTGATTAAATTCTGAATCTGATTTTAAGCTGCAAAGCTTGGCTCTAACTAGGGAAGAAGGGATTTTTGGTTTTTGGAGAAGCAGAGATTTATTTGGAGAGGGCTGCTTTACCAAGCCACATGAATATAATTCTTGGGAAGTTACAGTCCACACTTAAGTATCTTCATGCCAGTGTTAACAGCTAACTTGGGATGGGACTCCCAAGACATGTATTGCCTTGCCTTCTGTGTAGGGCCCATGATGGCAAACCAAAAGAGCTAATGTGTAGTTAGCATGAGGAGCTTTCCCATCATGTGGGGATTGAAGACTTCATGCATCAGTGACTAATCTCCTTGCTTTGCTGTAAAAATTGCATTTTCTATTCCAGCAAGAGCTGTGCTGAAAGATTGAGCAAGGTCATTATCTAAAAAAGCTAAGTGCCTTGCTACCCTTGAAGGAAAGTGGTGATCTCTCCAAGATCCCACTCACAAGAGCAACCTAGAATATTGAAGGGTTCTTTCCATGTTAATTGAGTATTTCAAGGTGTATTTTCTTTCACTGCATTTTCCCACTATCAGACTTCCAATAAAGTGATTTCCTGTTTTTTAGAAATCCTTGTGACTATACATTCACACTCCATGATAGTAGCTACTTTGGAAGTGAAACTGAGAGACTTGGGATAGCAAAATTCCTCTTTTAAAATAGGGAGGAGTTAACCCTAAATTACACAGTATAGAACAACTACTCTATCTTCAGCCAAAGTTTCATGAAGCAAATTCCTCAAAGCAACATATTGCAGCTGGTCTTAATTTTAATGGAGAGTGTCGTTGAAAAACCTTTCTCTTTTTTTTTCATATCAAAGATCATCTTTTATGCATATATTTAAATTTGAATATGGCCATTCAGATCATATGCGTGATAAAGCAAGCCATTCCTTTTTAACACTCGCAATCTGGTTCTGTCTGACTCCTTGTGAAAGATGTTTGTGTGTTTTTTCACTAGGAGAATTTTGTTTCTTGGGCTGTGGAATTAATTAGATTAAAAGATCTATATACCAAAGAACTGGTTAAAAGCTTTAATTTTTAGTTTGCAGTATCCTTGCATTTATCCCATTTTGTGTCTTAAAAATACTTGGCCTTTTTTTACCTTGACCCATATGGTTGTCAGTGCTGGATTATACCAGAAGAGCTATTGTGCTTATTGTTTATTGGCCTTGCCCTTTCAGATTTCCTTTCTTCAGGGCATTATTTGAAACTGCTTTAGCTGCTTCTGGCATTCTTTGTGTTGAATTGTAGAAAAGTTGCTCTTGTCCTTCACCATCCCTGTAGTGTGGAAGGGCTGCTGGTTGGTGGAATTTCCATCGATCTTTGCTATTTTGCATTGTCGTTGCACAAGCTAGAAGAAGGCCGCAAATCTCTGAGGGAGGAATGTTGTGTTTTTTGTTTGTTTTAAGTTTCTGTTACTTAGTTCAGTGGATCTGCGTACAGCACAAACAAAAACCATTTGGCCTCTAAGTGTTTCATTTCACAAGTTGGGAAGCTTTGGTTTTTAAAACACTACTGTAGGGCTACCCAAATTAATTCCTAAACTGTTACTGTAGCAGATAGTGCTAAGCACACTTGATCTCATTTGAGAGTATTAGCTTTTCAGATGGAGTGTTTTATAATGCAATAAATAAAGTTAGCATGATGTTCTAGTGAAAGTAAAATGCCAAACATTGAGTGCCCCATAGGGGTTTTTATTTGGTTATATAATTCATAGGATTTCAAATCTGGCTCAAAATTTTTATTCTATGCATGTTCTCAGGCTATTATTAGATAATGCCCCTGTGTCCTAATACATGTAGAGACTAAGTGTTGGACACACAGACTGTGTGTGTGTGTGTGTGTGTGTGTGTGTGTGTGGGTGTGTGTGTGTGTGTGTGGGTGTGTGTGTGTGTGTGTGGGTGTGTGTGTGTGTGTGTGGGTGTGTGTGTGTGTGTGTGGGTGTGTGTGTGTGTGTGTGTGTGTGTGTGTGGAAGGGGGAACAAAAGTTTGAAGTTGAGTTGCAAACTTTTTGTGCTTGTTCTTTACTGTCCAGTTAATCTTCTGAACTGGTGAGTGGATTTCAGCAGGGAAGGTGAAGCTGGTTTAACTCTTTCTCCAAGCTCTAGCTTTAGTGAAGGAGGACAGCTCTGGATCTACAGGCTTGTGCACTAGAAACTCCCAGAGGAATTTGACTGTGCTGGGTTAAACCAGTGTTGGCTGTCAGGAAACGTTCTACTTTGTGAAAGATGATCAGCAAGTAAAACTCTCACTATTCTCCCAATTCAGCTGTATGGAGCAGATCTGACTATATTTCAGGGAAAGTTTCAACATTGTATTGACTGAGGGCTTAGAAGCAGCCGTGATACTGGGTGGTGCAGGATCCTCAGGTAATTCACTCTTTTTAATTAGAACCCTTTAAAGTGTAACTTACTGGGGATGCCCACAAACATGTACTGTAAGGAGTAGAAAACCTGAAAGTTAGTGTATGTTAAGGGCAAAAATAATCAAGTGGGAAACTGAACGAGGCACTTCAATGTGGTACTCCAATGGAATTGCTGGAGAGGGGTTCAGTCTCTTTAGAGTTAAACCAAAATCTAATTTATTAGAGGAACAGACTTTAGGCCTGATCCAGCCATATCTTTGTTTTAAATTCTTCTGAAGGTCATGAGATTTCTATGTTCAGTTCAGGTTTAAAGAAAAAAAATGTGCCAAAGGTTTTTTTTGAGGGTTTTTTGTTTGTTTGTTTGTTTTTTAAAGGAGCCTATCCAAATGGTGCCAAAAGGTAACGTGGTATTTAAAGCAAAAAAAAATAAAAAGAGGGAAAAAAAGACGTTTAGACAAACAGTTTGGAGCTGTATAAAAAATAAACACTGGTACTTGCGGTAGACAAATATCATACCTCTGGTCCTTGAGACTGTTGGAGAGTAAAACCCACTTTGCTGTGGTACATTAGAATGCACAAATGCCACTGATTTTGTTACTTTTTTCCTTAAAGTTCTACCTCACTTTGGAGAAATTAATCTACCTCAATTTAGCATCAAACAGGTCTTGGAAGTAAATGTAAATCTGCATGGGGGGAGGGGGTAAAGGGTACATCTGTCTGCTGAATAAGCATTTTTATTTAAATGGAATATTATTGACTGAGAACAATGTGGCAACTTTTTTCATTTGTCTTTTTCTGCCTTCCCATGGAAATGCTAGGCTGCCCTTGCTAGAGAAACTGTAAATAAAACCAAATGTTCCCACACTCAGGCAAGTTGTATGAGCAAATATGAATAATTGCTTAAAGTATGAGTTTTCACTAGGAATTATGCAAACTTAAATCATGGTTTGTTTCAGTATTATAATACTACTGGTTGACATGACATTTTTATTTGCAGAATTCTTATGTCCTTAAGACCTTTAGGTCTTCTCTCTACAAGAGGAAAAATAATTGTACTTTTTGCATGCTTCCGTATATATCCTGTTAGAAGAGACTAAGGGTATAATTTCTCTAAACACAATGCTACACCAAATGCTTGAAGGGAACGAGACTTTTTTTGACTCGGTGATTGTATATATAGACTTCTTGACACAACAGGATGTTTTCCACCATGACAATGCAACCAAGCTTTTCAGGCTGAGTACTTACAGCCAATGGCAGCTCAAGTGTTGGGCTTTTATTTGACTTTTTTGAGCAGTGGTGCTTTTAAGTGTGCTTAATGTTTTTACAAATGGAGTGAAGTTGAAAAAGCACATAACTGCATTGAA